CTAGGAACTCAGTTGCCTTGCTGGGAAGAAACCCAAGCAGCCCATGGAGAGGTCTACATGGAGAGGAACCACAGATGCTTGACCTAAAGCTCCAACTAAGTTCCCAGTCAAGTAGGCAGCAACAACTTGCCAGCTATAAGTAAGTTATCTTAGAAATGGATCCTCAACCCCCTTTAAAGTGTTCCAATGAATGTCATGTGATGAGTCTCCTGGATAAGCCCTAAATTAATGGCCCATAAAATGTGAACAAAACTACTAAGTTCAGAGGTAGTTTATTACAGACCAATAGAAGCCAGAACACTGTGTATAGGTACAGAAGTCTAATTGGAGACTAGATATAAAAACTATCAAAAGGTATGTTCTTGTTAAGTGCCATCAAATCAGTTCCAACTCTTAGGGACTCTATATAGGGTTTCTGAAGTTGTAAAACTTTGTGGGAGCAGAAAGTCTTAACTTTCTCCCATGGAGTAGTTGGTGGGCTTGAACCATCGACCTTGTGGCTCGCAGTCTGGTGTTTATACTACAGAGACACTATACTCCACTGGCAAGTTTTGTTACTGTTGTTATGTCGTCGAGTCAGTTCCAACTTACTGTGACCCTGTATATTTAAGGGGTTCCAAGAAGCAGCTGGTAAGTTTGAACTGTCAACTTTGCGGTTCAAACCAACCTCCTGGCCAAGTGCTTATCCTACAACACCACACCAGGACTCCTGACACAGTATAGACCTTGAAATATTTTTAGTTCATTTTCAAGCCACACCTCAAGGGAGAAATACTCTATTGGCAGAGGTCAGCAACTATAACCATGGACCAAATCTGACCTGCCAGTTGTTTTTGTATGGTCCATGAGTTTAAAATGGGGTTTGCATTTTTAAATAATTGAAAAAATTCAAAAGTATCGTTTTCATGCCATGTCAAAATAATATAAAATTCAAACTTCTGTCTCAGTGTTCCCAAACAGTATCCACGGAAAGATCATTCACTTCTTATCACCCATCCATGGCTACTTCTGCACTACACTGGAAGGACTGCAGAGTTGCAACAGAAATAGGATGGCCTGCAAATTCTAAAATATTTACTATCTGGCTGAGAAAAAAACATGCCTGGTTTAGATGTTCGGAGCTTGAGAGTATACACACACCTCCTCGCTCCAACTGGTAACAATCTAAAATCTAGGGAAAATTCCAAACCCTCACAACCCTATACAGAAGAATGGTTCTTCCTCACTGAAAACCTTTCTGTTTCACCTAATTCTCATCCTGCATGAGGTAAGAAACTCTTCTGCCACAGGTCTCAGATTCCCTAGTTCTCTGGGTTGTTCTCCAAAAGGTTATAATTCTGGTTCTCAGGTAATCAAAAATACTAGCAAACATAATCTCTAAATGAGAGCAAAACTCTGCAGTGCAGAGAATTACTCTGTATGGCTCTTCTACCATAGCCTTTGTAACTCCCACCAAATTACTTTTTTCCTGATGGGTCTGGGTAAGAGAAGGTGGGGGAAGATGCTGAAAGGATTATGATTCCACTGTGAATAATTGTTACCAGGATTAATTATGATCGTAAAACTTGGAACTCTAATGTGATTATAAAATGAGCCATCTCAGACACAGGAAGGGGAAATCACATTACCATCAAAAAAGAAGAGCCAGGAGTAAACCTTGTCCTCTGAACCCCAAGATCTCTGAACACTGAGCCTCCTTTGACCTAAGGACACAAAGCTGTAACACTAGAGGAGCAGCAGAGGAATGGCAGAGAAGCAGCAGCAGAAGCAGAACCAACACAAGACAGTGGTGGGCTTCACAACCAACAGTGTTAAGTGTCTTTAGTCAGGAAGCTGACTTGTGGAGTGAGGCACCTCCAGGCACTTAATTGCTGATCCAGAAAGCCAGAACGGAGTGCCTTCATGTCAGAATTTTGAAAGACAAAGTCTTACTACCCCAGCTTCTAAGGAACATTCTGGCTGTATTTCTTCCAAAATAGATTTATTTGTTCTTCTGGTAGTCAATGGTATTCTCAATATTCTTCACCAGCACCATAAGTCAAATGCATTGATTCTTCTATGGGCTTCCTTTTTCATTGTCTAACTTTCACACATGCATATGAAGCTACTGAAAATACTAAGGCTTGCATCAGGCGCGCCTTAGCCCTCAAACTGTTATCTTTGCTTTTGAACACTTTAAAGAGGTATTATAAAGCAGATTTGTCCAATGTAATAATACATCATTTGACTTCTTGACTGCTGCTTCCATAAGAGTTGATACTGGATCCAAAAAAAATGAAGTCTTTGACAACTTCAATCTTTTCTCCATTTATCATGATGCTTTTATTAGGGTCCACATATGAGAATCATTTTTTCTTTACACTGAGATGCAATCCATACTGAAGGCTGTGGTTTTTGATCTTCATCAGTAAGTATTTTACATTCACTTCCGGAAACCAAAGTTGTATCATCTGCATATCTTCCTCCAATCCTCAAGCCTTGTTCTTTTTCATATAATACAGCTTTTCAGATTATCTGCTCAGCATGCAGACTGAGTTAAGTATGGTGAAAGGATACAATCCTGGTGCAAACCTTTCCTAATTTTTAACCATTCAGAATCCCCATTTTCTATTTGAATGACTACTTCTTGAGCTATGTACAAGTTCCTCATGAGCACAATTAAGTGTTCTGGAATACCCATTCTTAGCAATGCTATCCATAGTTTGTCATGGTCTACATAGTCAATAATGTTTGCACAGTCAATAAAGCACACGTAAACATTTTTCTGATGTTCTCTGCTTTCAGCCAAGATCCATGTGGCACTAGCAATATTACTGTTACCACTATTTCCAAGATTCTTCTGAATCCAGCTTGAATTTTTAGCAGTTCCCTGTCAATGTACTGTTGCAACCATTTAATTATCTTAAGCAAAGTTTTACTTGCATGTAATATCAACAATATTGATAGATGATTTTTATATTGCATTGGGTCACCTCTCTTTGGAATAGACACAAATATGGATCTTTTCCAATCAACTGGCCAAGCAGCTGTATGTATTCCAAATTTCTTGGCATAGATGAGTAAACCTTCCAGTGCAACATTAGTTTGCTGAAAGATTTCAGTTTGTATTCCATCAAATTCTGGAGCCCCATTTTTCACTAATGCCTTCAGTGTTGCTTGAACTTCTTCCTTCAGTACCAATGGCTCTTGATCAGATGCAACTCTTCTTATAATGATTTAACATCGACCATTTCTTTTTGGTACAGTGATTCTGTGTATTCTTTCCATTTTCTTTTGATGCTTGCTGCATCATTCAGTATTTTGCCACATTGATTCTGTTGCTAAAAGCTGTCAATTTAGTTCCAATTCATAGCCACCCTTATAGTGTTTCTGAGGAGTGACTGGTGGATTTGAGTCACCAACCTTGTAGTTAGTAGTCTAGTGCTTTTCCTACAGTGCCACACCAGGATGCCATTTTGCCAATAGAATCCTTTAATATTGCAAGTCAATATTGCTTGAATTTTTCCTTCAATTCTTTCAGCTTGAGAAACACTGAGCATGTTTTTCCCTTTTGGTGTTCTAACTCCAGGACTTTGCACATTTCATTATAACACTTGACTTTGTCTTCTTGAGCTGTCCTTTGAAATTTTATGTTCAGCTCTTTTACTTCCTTATTTCTTCTACTTGCTTTAGCTTCTCTACACTCAACAGCAAGTTTAAGAGCCTCTTCTGACATCCATTTTGGTCTTTTCTTTCTTTCCAGTCTTTTTAATGGCCTTTTGCTTTCTTCCTTCCCTGTATTATGTTCTTGATGTCAACCATAACTATTCTGTTTAGTGCACCAAATCAGTTCTTGAGAGGGTCTCTGAATTCAGATAGGATATGTTTAAGGTCATGTTTGGCTCTTGTGAACTTGTTTTTATTTCTTTAGCTTCAGTAGGAACCTGCATATAAGCAACTGATGGTCTGTTTCACAGTTGCCTCCTGGCCTTGTTTGGATAGACATTGACCTTTTCTACCATTTCTTCCTACAGATGTAGTCAAGTTAATTCCTACATAGTCCATCTGGTGAGATCCAAATATATAGATGTGTTTTATGTTGTTTTAAAAAGGTAGTTGCAATAAAGTTGTTGGTCTTGCAAAATTCTATCATGCTATCTCTAGCATCATTTTTATCACCACGGCCATGTTTTCCAACTACTGATCCTTCCTCTTTGTTTATAGCCTTAGCACCAATCACCAGCAATTATCAATTTATCTTGATTGCATGTTTGATCAATTTCAGACTGAAGATGGTAGAATTCTTCAATTTCATCATCTCTAGCTTTCGTGGCTAAGGAGGTCTGGTAGTGTCGTGGTTACGCGTTGGGCTGCTAGCCTCAAGGTCAGCAGTTCGAAACTACCAGTAGTTTTGCAGGAGGAAGAAGAGGCTTTCTGCTCATGTAAAGATTAACAGCCTGGGAAACCATATACAGGGACTATGAGTCAGAACCGACTCCAAGACATACTACCACCATCAGCTTTAGCGGCTGGAACATAAATTTGAATAATAATGGTATTAACTAATCTTCCTCATAAGCATATGGATATTATCCTATCACAGGCAGCATTGTACTTCAAGATAAAAAAGCTAGATCAAAACATTTAAGAGTTTTGTATTTCTTGGCTGTAGTCCCATGATCTATGAAAGACACCTTTTTCTTATACATGCAACAGGCCTGCCTCCAAAATCTATGCCTCAGTGATTACAAGAAAACTCCAGAGTACATAGGTAAACGCTTTTTAATGGTGACATCCTCAAAACGGGAACAGGAAGGTTTAGGGTGCTATTCTGAGCTATATGAGGACCTTTTTATAAACAAACACTCAGTGACTGACCCTCTTCTAAGGGGTACTTACTTAGCAGGCCCTAAGAGAACTGAGTTCAGAACTGCCGAAGTGTAGAACTGAGAAGGAAAAAGCATTAGAACTAAAATAGAAGATGAGACAACTCCCTCATTTACACTTTATATCAGTCTCACCTTGATGACTTCTCCACTGGAGGCAATTAAATCTGCTGGAATGGTCACTCGAAATGAGCGTCCAACAACAGCTGTGCCATCAGGAATGCCAACCACTGTGGGAACAGCCTCACGGAGGTCTGAGAGCACCGAGTGCATTGATGCCTCAAGCTGGTTCTCCCAATCCCTCACGGTCTCTGAGGGTTCACTGGGCCAGCGGGAGTGAACCAAGGCCACCAATAGCAGAAGGACAAAGGTCCTCCCCCAGAATGGGGGCAGCAGCAAGAGGCTCCCAGACATCCTTGTACTGGGCCCAACTTTGTTCCGTCAGTACTCTCTCTAAGGAAGGAGGTGAGCGACGTGGTCCCAGAACTGGGTCCTCACCCTCTGTACACCTGCTCCATTCCAGAGTACCCAGAGCCTGAAAAAGAAAAAAAAAAAAAAAACAGACTAAGACTTCAGCAATTCCCATGGTTTCAAAGTCATATACAGGCAATTACTAACACCACCTAAGTCTTCCTTCCAAAAACATCTACCCTGAGTCGAATCAAGCTTCTTGCCCTACAGGGTATGGCATAGCAGTCAAAGCACTGAACACTGGAAAAGTGGCTGAGAAAAGCTCTAAGTATAAAATACACACCAGATTTTGAAATCTTAGTATTATAAAAGGATATGAAATATCTCATTAGTATGTTTTAAATATTGACTATATATTGAAATGAAAATTTTGGATATACTGAGTTAAATAAAATATATATACTATCAAAATCAACTTCACATGTTTACCTGTTTTTTTGTCTTTAATATAAGGCTACCAAGAAATTGTAAATGACATATGAGGCTCACATTACATTTCTGTTAGGGAGGGCTGCTCTCCTAACTACCAGTTTATAGGAAACACAGGAGCCATGAGAGACAACCAGGCAAATTCAGAATGTGGGACTTTCTATAAAATGAATGGCATGGTCACTCCAAATGTCAACATCACTAAAAGCAAGGGGACTGGTGTATCTTTAGAGACAGCAACCAGAAAAAGTGTGTATATATCTTAACTGGATCCTGGATTTACAGCTCATGATACCCTGGTTCTAGGTCCTCAGACACCCAAATGCCTTGTGGGACTTATTGGCTCACAAGTGCCCACAGCCATCATGAGCAACTTCACATTTCAGAAAAGGATTAAACCCAGGCTGCCAAGAAGCTATATGACATCTTTTGACCTGGGTACTGCAAAGTAGATAAACTCAAAATTGCTAAGGAAACAAAGCCACTGAAACAAACAATATACTCTAAAGTCAGTACAATTCCCAATTCAATTTTTTTGTTGTTGATTTTGCTGTTCCTGCTTGTTATGTGTTTGAACAACAACAAAAGTTGCCACAGAATTAATTCTGATTTATGGTAATCTCATGGTATCAGTGAAGAACTGTGCTCAATAGGGTTTTCAATGGCTGATTTTTCAGAAGTGCCACCTCAGAGTGAACTCAAACCCCCAAGCTTTCAATTAGCAAAGTGAAAATGTTAACTGTTTGTACCACCCAAGCAAGGATCCTGGAACTTAAATTCAAACCTAAAATCCGTAAAACAGCCAAAACCCAAGAAAGCAAAACAATCATGAATACTGCCTTACCAAACATCAAGACTTATCATAAAGCTATTATACCAATAAATAACATCATGATAAATGGAGAAATGACTGAAGTTAATCTACAAACAATACTCAAGGAAACAGCAGCCATGAAATCAAACATTGTACTACATTAGGCAAATCTGCTGCAAAAGACCTCTTTCAAGTATTCAAGAGCAAAGGTATCAGTTTAACGACTAAGATACATCTGACCCCATCTGTGGTATTTTCAGTTGCCTCATATGCCTGTGAAAATTGGACAATGAATAAGGAAGACTGTAGAAGAACAGATGCGTTTGAATTATGGTGTTAGAGAAGACTATTAAAAAGTACCATGGTCTCTAACTGGAGTACCTAAAAAGGGGTTCTATAACTTGCCAATGAAATAGGCTTCTTGTTGAGGTTTTGTAGTGTGTATAGGACCTAAGGTGGAATCCTGAGCCCCATCTAGGCCCTTAGGAAGTGGGACATTCTCACTTGAAAGGACATGCAGACCAGCCCGGAGCGGCTAAAGGAACAGAAGATACTTCCCGAAAGAAAGAGCAGCAGGTAAAACCAAAACCAAAAATGGCAGTCTGTTTGGTTATTACAAGAACAAGCACGCTGTTCACTGGGGAGCCATAAAGGAAAACAATCAAGTCCCTTCAGGACAAACCCCCCTGCGAGAGTGAAATTTAAAGGGAACACATGAGCAGGCATGCAAGTTCGCTGGCAACCAAGTTGGTCTACATGTGAGTGGAAGTGGCAGAAAGGCAGCAATGAAGATATGGGCTGAGTTCAACCACGTTCCATAGACATCTGTCAACCTTGAGATGAGAAAGAGAAGAGGAAGGGCTGGCTGTTCCAAAGTTTGGGGAAACTTGGGGGAAGTTTAAGCCCAAGAACACTGACCTAGCCACAAAGGACTAGAGCTGAGAGCGAAGTGCCCAGCTGATAAGAAGTGGTGGGGTACACCAAAGCTTGTAGATAGTACCCATCTGACCTAGCTTGCATAGCTTGATGACCAGAGCTCGACTAGAAGAAGATAAAGAAATCTGACACAGGAAGAAAATGAAACTTGCTACAATACAATTTTCTGGAATTAACCTATACTTACAGATGTAGTAACACAAAATACCAACCAAGAGGGAAGGAGTCTTCCCTTCAGTATACGGTTGATAAGGAAATACAAATTAGACATTGACAATCTAAAATGGGAAAGCTGTAAAGGTACAAAGTAGCTGGCTTACAAGTTTTCAAGAGGGAATTTAGTTTCAGAGTGTGTGGTGGAAGGTAAAATCCTCAGTGAACAGTTTTCACCTTATCTAAATGGGTCTGGCGAAAGGAGATGGGGATAGGACTCTTTTGATTCAATAGTGGGTAATAGTTATCATGAGTAATTGCAATTGTCACAACTATAAAGGTAGAAGTTGTGTAACATAAAGGGGAGAGTAGTTAATCTTACATTTCATGACCAAAGGACCCTAGGACCATCAAGAGAGAAAAGCATGAGTGGAACATGGGACCCTAATCAGAGAAGCAACTACACTAGAGATGGAGGCAGAGGTGATGACATGGAGAGACAGAATTGCTTGAAGACTCTAGACTCATGGAAAGAGAAAGGTTGTGTGCTGGCAGCCAGGAGGCAGACTTGCAGAATGTGCCCTTTGGTTGTTTTAATGATTATATATTCCTGAGTTTTTCTGTGGACATTTAAAAAAACAAAAAACCAGAGAGAATAGAAGCAAATACTATTAAATAATGATGCATAGAGGGGATTGTAACCATTGCAATGAAAAAAACACAACAGGATGAGTGCAAAACTGATGTTCTCTCATGTAAACTATCACTCAATTCACAATAAAAGCTTTTTTTTTTTTTTAATTAAAAAAAAAGGGTCTGCCAGAACAAACCAATCTGTCTTGGAAGAAGTACAGAAAGAATGTTCCTTAGTTCCTTAGAAGCTAAAGACAGGATGGCAAGACTGTTTCTCTCCAACATGTTATTAAGAGGGACCTGGAGAAGGACATCATGTTTGGTAAAAATAGAGGGTCAGCAAAAAAGAAGACTCCCAAGGAAATGGACTGACACAGTGGCAGCAGCAATGGGCTCAAATGTAACAACTGTGAGGAGAGCACACAGCACTGTTTTCCTCTGTTGCGCATAGGGTTGTGGTAAGAGTTGGAACCAACTCATATAGGCACCTAACATTAACTGTATTAAAGTAGTATCACATAGGTAGGTGGACAAGCAAACTATGGAACCAGAGTGAGAGTTGAAAAGCAATTTGCAAAGAAACTGTTCAAGTAAAGGCTCAAAGTGCCTGGGTGGTGCCAACGGTTTGCACTGAGCTGCTAACTAAAAGGTTCAAACCCACCCAGCAGCACCACAGAAAAACAGACCAGGAGATCTTCCATAAAGATTACAGCCAAGACACCCTATGGAGCAGTTGTATTCTGTAACACATTATGTCTTCTAAATCACATCAACAAGGAATAACAAAATCAACATTCTATGTGGGGTGGGGCAATAAGGTTCCTCTCATCATAACCAAAAGAAAATCCAAGTAGATTAGGTACCCAAATGTGAAAAGAAGAACTTGAAAATTGTTAGAATTAAATATAGCAGAATGTCAAGATAAGGAAGTTATTTCATTAAAAGACTTCAAAACACACAACATAAAAAGACAACTGGCTTTTTACTTCTATAAAAACGGGATACATATATTCTTTCCCCTAAGTACAACTAAAAATCCTGAATATGTAAATATGATATACACATCTTCTACTACCTTTGAGGTCAATTCTGACACACAGTTACCCTATAGGAACAGACTAGAATTGCACAACATATCTTTGACTACCATATCCTTCTCCCACAGTGGGCTCAAACCACCAACCTTTAGTAACAGCTGATATTTTAATCTCTGTGCCACCAGGGCGCCTATCTTAGGACACAAAAAGGTAGTGAGGAGTCCTGGTAGTGTAGTGGGTTACACATTGAGCTGCTAAGCACAAGGTTAGCAGTTTGAGGCCAACAGGTGCTCCATGGAATAAAGATGAGGCTTTCTGCTCCCATAAAGATTTACAGCCTTGGCAACCCCATACAGGGTTGCTATGAGTGGGAATTGATTCTACAGCACACCACCACCACCACAAAAGATGGAAAGGAAAATATAGACTGGCTTGGGACAGACATCAAGACTTGAGGAATGACTGAAACTTTTTTCCATCAGGACAATGCACTGTGTTTTCTTTGCCCATCAACCCAACAGCCCTGATCTTGCCCCCTTCAGACTTCGTTCTGCTGCCCAAACTCAGTGAACATTTAAAAAGAACAGGATCTGAGTCCCTGGAAGATGCCCAAATTGTCGTTTGACATAGTGTAAATCAATGTATGCAGAATTCTTCAGTGAAAGGTTAAGAGAAATGGAAACACTGCCTTCAGAAGTGTATAGACCTAGATGGAGTATATGTTGAGAAACAACAGCTTCACATTTTGATATTTTTAATAAAGGTTTCTTTGATTTTGAAGTAATACTTTTATAATTAGCCTCATGTAGTAATGAATGATAAAAGGGTCAATCTATTAAGAAGACACAGCAGTACTAACTATATATTTACCAAACAATAAAGCTGTGAAATATGTAAAACAAAAACTGACAGAACACATTGTTCTTGTTGTTAAGTGCCATGAAGTTGGTTATGACTCATAATAATGCTACATAGTGTTTCTGAGAGTAACTGGTGGGTTTGAACTGTGTACCTGACAATTAACAGTCCAGTGCTTAGTCTATAACACCACACCAGGACTCA